AATCATATTTTAATGTTAGTATTTTTAATATAGTGTAAAAACAAATGTATATTGCTGGTCTTTGACCGTAATAAAGATCTTATACCATACCAAGGCAAATATTCCAATACTGAGTGGCAGCCTTACTAAACCTCTAGTTATTCTCAGTGGTTAAAATGCAGTATTGAAAGCTAATTCTGCTGACAGTTGATTGCCAGCAGTTAGAATCTCACTGGCTCAAGGTTGACTCAGCCTTCTATCCTTCCGAGGTGGGTAAAATGAGGACCCAGATTGTTGGGGGCCAGATGCTGACTCTGTAAACCACTCGGAGAGGGCTGTAAAGCACTGTGAAGGGAAATCCAAGGATAAGATTTTAGTTGCCACTGCTGTTTACATGTGGATTGAAAATAATGGTTTAATGGGACAAGACCAAGGAGTGAAGAAAAAGAGCCTAATGAGTAGGCTCATTCACACTCTAGCCACCAATGCAGCTTTAATTAAGTACATATGTGATATAGTATAGCAACAGCACTTAGACTTATATACCGCTTCACAGTGCTTTACAGCCCTCTCTAAGTGGTTTACAGAGTCAGCATATGGCCCCCAACAATCTGGGTCCTCCTTTTACCCACCTCGGAAGGATGGAAGGCTGAGTCAACTGTGCAGAGTTTGAAGTCATCCTTAATAAAGCTAACAAATGTTAAATTATTTGTATCCTTAGTTTACTTGATTTAACCTTCTAATTAATTTAGGAAATATAAAATTACTTGAGGCATAGTTATGCGGGACATGACTGCTATTGTAAAAGGGCTTTTCGGTATTTATGATATAAATGAAATGCAGACCCACAGACGCTCTCTAGAGAAAGGAGGTAGCTAGCTTGAGATTAGCAGAAATGGCAGTTCAAGGATACTCGTGTTTACAGGAGGACCTATAATGAAGAAATAGATGCTTTGCCAGCAGAAATCCTCTAATATGACCTCTAGCATCTCAGATAGGATAAATGGGACTTTGGGCTAGCTGCAGGACAATAAACACTGCCTGAGAAAGGCTGCAAATCAGGCACCTGAATCAGCAGGCAAAGATCTAGGAGCCAACCCCAAATTTACATCAGGTGAAGGCTGCGTTCCAAAGTAACAAAACAGAGGTAGGAGCAGACATAAAACTAGAAGCATCGCTAAGGATTGCAAGCTAAAGCAACAATCAGGGAATAGAAGCATTAGGTAGATAAGTCTGGTCCAGTTGCAAATATTTTCATGGAGGCTGATGTGTCCAGATTCTGTTAAGACATGCCAGATGACCAGTTGGCTCTCTCAAACTGGAATCCCAGTATAGAAATCACCTTTTTATCCTTAAGGCAGTTACCTGCAAACAGATGTTCTTCAAATGAGTTGGCTATTACAAAACTCATAAGGTAGTCAAGACATTAACTGTCATAGGTCAGCTTGCCTTGCCTTCTGTGGAGGTAAGCCAGAAATAGGCAGACTTCAGGATGGTAGAATTTGTATTGTAGTTCATTGCACAGTTGTTTAGACTGAATTTGGCGTTTTTATCCAACCTATCCATTCCTGGAATAGGCAGGCGTTGTTTGATGGCGTTAAAGGTAGTGTAACAGGATACAGGCTGTTCCAGGTAAAGCTGCCTTTTGAAATTGTCTGATGGTGATTTTGTAGATGCCGATAGTGTTCAGGTGGCACACCAGATATTTTGGAATTGTACCAAAGGCCCCTATTGCTATTGGCACTCTCTTTGCTTTCTTTTGCCACAGTCATTCTACTTCTGTTTTCACATCTTTGTATTTTGTAATTTTATCCAGTTCTTTCTCTTCTCTTCTGCTATCTTCAGTACTTCGGTGTCTACTATCCAGATTTTTTCTGTCTTTCTTTTCAACAATTGTAAAGTCTGGGGTGTTAGTGGCAAGTGTTTGCTTGAATTCTAAAGATTAGAAGCTGCCCAGGGCTGGTTAGAAGACAGACAGTTTATACTGTATAAATATTTTAAATAGGTAAAATCCCAGATAACTTTAAGACTTCATTTTCTATTATTTTGTCTATTTTGTGATCCCACCGGTTCTTATTTGCAGACAAGTGGTCTTTCATGCAGATATTCCATTGTACTATTGTTGCTAACTTGGTTGTATTATAGTTTGTAGTCAGTCTGTGGAATCTTATTTCAGCAGTTAACTAGGTGGCTCACCAATTGTTGTTGTTGTTGTTGTTATTGAATCTGAAATACTTCCCTGCTGAGACCTTAGGCAAAAGATAAGCACTTACCAAATTCTAAACTAAAGAATTTATTTTATAAGTTTTATAATTAAACAAAAATCAAACAAAGCCCCTGTTTATGGGTTGATTAAGCCAAGCATTGTTTCAGTGGTTAAATGCAGAAAGAGGAGTATTACTACAAATGATAAACTGTTAGGGGAGAGCTGTCTTTTGCCATTCACCAAATTGAAAACTGACACTTGATCTACTATGAGATACAATCCCATTTATCAGCTTCTGAGCACATTTCAGATTCCACACAGCACCCTACAGCAGGGGTCTCCAGCCTTGGCAACTCTAAGACCTGTGGACTTCAATTCCTAGAATTCCTCAGCCAGCTTTCTGGCTGAGGAACTCTGGGAGTTAAAGTCCACAGGTCTTAAAGTTACCAAGGTTGGAGACCCCTACCCTATAGGATGACTAGAAACATCTTGTGCATGAAACATGGAAAGAGACTCTCAGTCTTAATAGATGTGCCTTGGCTAAGTTTTAAGCAGATCTCATATGCCCCCATAGAGTTGCAAAACCTTTTCACTCTCAACCAGCTTTCCCCATTTGTCGCTTCTGTCTCCGGCTGACGACGTGACTTCCTTTGTCTTCCAGCATACATGAAACGGCGGCACAGCTCCGTCAGTGACAGCCAGCCTTCAGAATCATCCTCCACTGGAATAGATTACAGCCAGGGGGCCAGCCCACAACCGCAGCATCAGCTCAAGAAGCCACGGGTTGTCTTGGCTCCGGAAGAGAAAGAAGCTCTGAAACGGGCCTATCAGCAAAAGCCATACCCATCACCAAAAACTATCGAGGAACTTGCCACACAGCTCAACTTGAAGACCAGCACCGTCATTAATTGGTTCCACAATTATAGGTAGGTAGCGCCGAGTTTTTCCCGTTTTACTGCAGAACCAGCAGTCCTTTCACCCTTGCCATTTCCTCTTTGAATAAGAGGGTCTTTTTTCTCATATGCCGTTTATGAATTATATAGAACATATATGAGAAAATACAATTTGAATCTCAACATGCTTACTTAAGCTGTAGAACTCAGATCTTTTGGAAGCTTCTGCAATCAGAAGGAGAGCAAGATTGGACTTTGGAGGGGAATGTGTTTTGTGATCACCTTTTGTGATCTTCTGACAAGCAGAGTCGATGGGAGAGCCAGAGTCGCTCAACTGTGTTACTAAATTAATATCTGCAGTGAGCCACTTAACAACTGTGGCAAGCAAAGTTGTAAAATGTGGCAACGCTCGTTTAGAAATGTCTCGTTTAGCAACGGAAATGGTGGGCTCAGTTGTGGTCGTAATTCGAGGACTACCTGTATAAACCTTGTCATCCTCCAGATTGCATGGGTTGCCCCCATTGAATAGTAAACATTCATATGGCAGAATCAGGGAGTTAATTAATACGTGGAGAAGATACAATATTAACTGTATTAAATCGATTCGATTCAAATTCCAATTCAGTTAATTCCAGTTTAGCTTTTATGCTGATTTTATCCCAAAAGACTAGTGTTACCCTCGGACTTAAAGATTGTCTGTCTTCGTCTCAGCCTAAGTAACTTCTATAATAAGGTGTCAAACTTGATTTCATTTGAGGGCTGCATCAGGGTTGTGTTTGACCTCGGGGGGTGGGGGGAGACCAGGGTGGTCATGGCCAGCTTTACATCACTCATGTCGGGAGCACCTATGGCCTGAGTGCTCTGCCAGCAAAAATGGAGCTCGGGCCGGGGGGGCTGCACGTGGTCTGTATATGTGTGTGGGGGGGGTGTCAAAACCCCTGGTATGGCCATTTTTTTTATGTTGCATTGTTACATTTGTGTTGCAATTGTGCTGATAAATAAATAAAGGGAGTAGTCTAGTCTCCCTTTATTTATTTATCAGCACAATTGCAACATACAAACATACATACATACAGTTTTTTTTTCATTTTCATAAAAAAATAACCACATGTATACTATTACATAACTAACATCATATTATATTGTTAAATGTTTACATCAGTTCATCTTACCATTAACTCCCAAAAACAATTATTGACTCTTCTGCTCTCCATACACCATATTTGTACCCTATCCATCACTTTCTTCTCCCTCTCTTCTCCTCCTCCCTACTTCTTTTCTTCCCTCTGTGGTCCTTCTCTACTTCCCCTTCCTTTCCCCTTTCCCCTCCTTCTTTCTCTCCTCCTCTTCCCCCCTCTCCTATCCCGCTCTTCTTCCCATACCTCTCTACTCTACTTCGCAAACTTCCTCTCATTTACTACGTGTATTTCAGCCTCTGAGCAAGCTCCATTTTATCTTGATGGTATTTATAATTCCTTTTCAATATACATATTTGATTTTAATATATATCTTCCTCCTTTTTTTAAAAGAAAAAAGTATACATATATAATAATTGTATTTTAAACCCACCCCCACCCCCCCAAAGCCTATTTTTGGCTGAGATGTAGACCTGGTTACGATTCCCAGCTATTCTCATCATTATATTTATATAGTTATGCATCCTTACATACCCCAAATTTGTAGTTCTGTCTTTATAATCTCAATAGTTTCTCATTGTAAATATACTTCATGTTCCCTCTCCATTTTTCCATATCTTAACTTAGCTTACCATTAATTGTCTTTAAATAACAATCCTTACAGTTCAACGTTCATTACAATTCCATTAATCTACTACATAGAATAACAAGCAGTACACATCTCACTTTGTTCATCAGTTCTATATGTGTCCATATTTTATATATTTTAACCTATACTTAATTGTCCTTCCATTAAGCCCTGGGGGGCTGCGAGTGGTCCTAGCAAGCTCCATTTTTGGCCAGGATGGTCTCCTGTTAGCAAAAATGGAGCCCCCCCTCCCCTCTGAGTTCAATTTTTGCTAACAAAGGGCTGCATGATGCCATCGTGGCCGTAAACAGAGCTCAGGAGGGCCGTGTGTGGCCCTCCCGAGCTCTGTTTTCGCTGGCAGCGGCACAGTGGCCTGGAGTTTTGCTTTTCCCCGCGGGCCAGATGTAAGCACCCCATGATCCAGATCCAGTGTTGAGTTTGCCACCCCTGCTCTGTAATGATGATAGAATCATCCCCAATTCGCCCATGTAATGTTCTTGGAGGAAGTGCCAGGCGCAACTACCGTTAGCTGCAACCAGTGATGACTCTCCTTTCTTGCAATGTTTCTTTTAGGTCACGTATTCGTCGGGAGCTGTTTATTGAAGAAATCCAAGCTGGGGGCCAGAGCCAGGCTGGGTCGAGTGACTCTCCTTCAGCTAGAAGCAACCGGGCAGTTCACAGCTCCGAAGGAGACAGTTGTGATGGGGTGGACACGGAAGGCCCATCGGATACAAAACAAGGCAGCCTGGAAGCCGATGAGTACAGCAATGCAACCATGAAGTCTCAGGGAGGGCGAGCAGCGTCAGCTTTCGAAGCAGGGGAAGAGGCACTGCGAGACGCCGGATCTTCGGAGAAAACGGAGACATTCCAGTTGGGAATGGAGAGCTTGGAAGACACAGATGACGAGGGAAGGCTCAAAGCACCGCGTCAGGGTTCTCCACTGAGCTCTCAACATTCAGGAGAAACTCTGGAGGCCAGGCCCAACTGTGCTCCAGAAGAGGATGCCTCTACCTCAGTCCTTGCAGGGCAGAGCTCCTGCAAGCCCAGGGGAGAAAGTGTGGAGAAAGTGCCCATTGTGCCAAGTACCAGTTCCACGCTGGCCATCACCAGCTCTCAGAAATCCAACTCACTCAAGAGCTTGTTCAGCTTTTCTGAGGCAGCATGCTCCAAGAACACACGGGACAACACTTTGAGGAAAAAGAAGGCAGCAAATTTGAACAGTATAATCCACCGTTTGGAGAAGGCTGCGAGTCGAGAGGAGCCCGTTGAATGGGAGTTTTGAGATTAAGCTCACCCAGCTCCACAGAGCTGGGGAAGTTAAAACTTGGACCTCTGTCGGTTTCTATTGTGTCCCGCACTTACCGCCCTGCAGGCCACGGGGCAAAAAATGCCATAGGCCAAGGTGCATATAGAGAACAAAAGGAGTGTTTTAAGCCCAGTTTTATGTTTGTGTTTTCAAGGAAGAAAACTGAAACTTGTCCAGCTTTTTGTACCCTGAAGTGTTTCTATTAATTGCCCTAAAGTGATTTCCACAGTTTCTGGGGAAGAAAAAAAAACTCATACAGCTTTTGCCTTCTGCCCTCCTCTTTGGTGTGGGCTTTAAAACAAAAATATATATACAAACAAGAAAAAAAAATTAAACCCACATATTTAAAAGGGGGGCTTTTTATCAGCCATCTAATGGCTAAACAGAGCGATAATAATACACTATTATCTTCTTTAACCAGGAAAACAAAAAGATGGGAGGGGAGATTTTTTGAGATTAAAAAAAAAAGTTGTTTTGTAGCTCTTCAGTTGCCACTAAGAGATTGCACAGTCAACCTGACTCTAAACACACTAGTTTGAATTCCTAAATATTTTCAAGAAAGAGTATTGTTTGAAACTTGGGGTTTAAAAAAAAAACACATTTACTCCATGTATTTTTTAAACAGACAAAAAAAAAGACACATCAGGAAAACATCTTAATTTGTGGTAGCTGACTTCAGTGTTTTTCTTGTAAAGTGGAATAGAAAATTGACTTGTAGTGCACATTGTTTCATAGCTTTAACTGATTCTAGTCTCTTTGTTGGCTGGAATTTGTTTAATACACTCCATTTTAGGCCAAATCAGGACAGGAAAAAAAAGAAGAAGAAAAATTCTGAAATCTAGGTATTTTATAATCTGCTTTTTAACCTCTAACCACAAAGCACGCGGATCAGACCTCATTCTGGGAGGTGTGGGAGACAGCTTGGAAGAGGGATGTACTTGATCGGTTCAGATTAAATTGCATTATGCCAGCCTTGCCAACACGTCCATATAAGTTACTAGTCCTCAACACCACCTGATTGCACATACCGCATTAATCATTAACCCATGTGACCTGTAAGGAAAAAACACACACCAGCTTTTTGAAAGAAAAAAAATAAATTACATGGACACCTGGAAACACTCCTTAACACACGCCAAGCAATTAGGCGGGTGGCATAATGGTTATATGCTACACAAAATACAGTGTGTGGCTTTGGGGGTTTTTTTGTTTTTTTTTTAAGGAGAACGGTTGGTTGGCAAGAAAGATGAACCTGGCATCAGTTTCAAAAAGAGTGTGGTGGTACAATGAGAAGCCTTACCCAACAAGATGAGTTTCCATCATTCATAGCTGGCAATAGTTTGTAGGACAATTTTACTGGGGCCCATTATTTTAGTACAATCTGGGGCTTAGCAATCAGCCATTGTACTATTCTGGTCTCACCTACTCCAGAAAATAAGGGCAACGTTTTCAGCCTCTTTGGAGTATGATTAAGCACCCCTGAATGATTACCCATGGCATATACTGGTTACCAAAAGGGAGTGGGGCCAAGAAGAAGAGTACATAACCCTCGATTATCACAGCCTCAAACCGCAGAATGGCTAACCAAAGCACACGACAGGAACTGTTCTCCTCTCCCAAAATAATTCAGCTCTTCCTGTTATTTTATGACAGCCGCAGGGCCGATCAAAGTACAGAATCGATTTTCCAAATTGTCTCTAGCTCCTCCTGTTGTCTATGTGTATATGCGTGAGCATAGAAGTGTATGGAGAAATGAGTGCGCGTATGTGTGTGTGCATGTGTGCAATTTTATACGTTGGTATTTTCTTACGTACTTGTGCACGCTTAGAGTGCATTACTGCCACGTTTTTTCAATAAGCTGTTTTATCAGTTATGGCTTCTACAGATTCGCTGGTTTAGATTCCTTTATTGCCATATCTTTAAAACTAACAATAGATGATTTTGGTGTGTATGTATGAGTATGAATGTGTCTGTGTGCGCGTGTATATATATATATATATACACACACACATACACATACACACACATACATGGATATAATTATTATTATTTTTTTTTTGGCTTATTTATAGGTGCTGTATTTTATTATCTGATTACTAGGAAAGGACGAAAGGGGCAAATATTCTTTAGAGGGATAGACTGCCGGCAGTATTGGGTTTAATTTACAAGATGTAGTTGTCAAACTGTATATTATTGACAGATATTTTTTTTTTTTTTTTGGAGGGCCGTATTGTGTATCATGGAAAACTGCTTAGGTCAACATCTTTTGATGACACTTTAATGGTGCATTCATGACTTATGTTCTAATTAATATTTACTTTATGATATTGTGGGAGGGGAGGGGGAAGAAACATTCTGACTTTAAAAGATATATTCCCAATATTACACCTCAATGTAGTTGTATTAATTGGTCACTAAGTCTGTTTTGGGGAGGGGACAGTACTGTAAAATGTGAAATCACCTTCCCTGTGTACTCTTTTTCTTTATTTAAAAAAAAACAAACAGAAATTAGGTTTTTAATCATGTCTTCAATATGCAACAGCAGCACTTAATTCAAGTCTTCACAAAATTAAGAGTTCAGTAGCTTTAACAACAGCAACAACAACAAAAATGCCTTTTCATGGTCCAGAACAAAAGCTCTAGGAGGCTGGAAGGCAGGTTTGCTTTTCCCACTTTTTTTTCTCTATTCATTTTATAGTTTCTTGGCTGTTTGGGGGATATGAAATGTTATCTTTAAGATGCACAAAAGAGCATTCTGACTTGAAGGTGCAAATCTGCACATATGCAGTATAAGCAAAATTAGGGACAGATTCTGGCTTGAGAATCAATAATGGGACAGCCACACTTTCCCTTTAGAACAGCTTTCCCAGAGCTTGGCAACTTGAAAGTATGTGGACTTCAGCTCCCAGAATTCTCCATTCAGCATATTGTCTGGGGAATTATGGGAGTTGAAGTCTACACATCTGCAAGTGGCCAAGCTTGAGAAATGCTGTTTTAGAGCTCCTTGAGATCTTAAGGCCTGCTGCTGAGGGCATTTCTTTTTGGCTTGGGCAGGATCTTTCTAGAAAATTGACTTTAGAATGCTTCTGAGAGCTGCCACCCACGGACAGTTACAGTATGTGACTTGGCTTCAAACGAAAGGCCTGCCTTCCACATACAATCCCCACTTCCTTTGCAAAACCGGAAGCAGCTCTTCATTGTCCGACCAGATTTAAAAAACACTTGCGTTGCTTCACTTCCATTAGGTTTTAGCTTCCCAGCAAGCACAGGATTTGTTTTTAGCCTTCCAGTGTCTGCATGTTTCTTTAGGCAACGGAGCAATATCCCAGTTCTGGTTTATTTCTCTTCTTCTTAAATATTTCCCAATGTGTTCAGTTCAGTTAGCCATTGAAGTTAAGACCTCCCTTGTCCCTCAGTTTCATTCTATCAACATCCTGGGTGCCTCTTCTCCATAACGCATGGAGAGATATCACTAATGTGACACAGGGCAGCCCAGCACTTGGGGTTCTGCCATTTGCCCTAATAAGCAATATTTAAGTGCCTTGGGAAAAAATAATATTCTCCTGTCTTTCATGTGCTTTCCCATCCGGATATACTTGGATTTTAGCAAAGAAATTTACAAATTCGGATTGACCCCCCCTCTTTTCAAGTTGGGTAGTGCTTCCTGCCAAAGCAACGTGGTATTGATTCACTCTTCCCCAAGGGGAAAGCCTGCTGAAGAACTTGTGGCTTATTGCAACCAATAATGGTCGCAGAGTTTAAGCCAGCTAGATCGAACGAAAGGTGATACTGCTCTGCCCATAGCTGCACATTCAATTTAGGAAGTTTTGGGAGATTTAATTAATTTGGCACTTTAATCATATTTGGGCTCTCTTGATCATTTCTGCTTGAAAAGAGAGGTTGTAATTGAGGGAACCTGGGTGGCCAACATTTCTCAAAAATCCATATATAATAATCAAGGATGCCATTAGTTAACCCGGTGTTGGTATTCCTGGTTTGACTACCATCTTGGCCTAGCATAGTAGAACACTACTTCCCTTGGGTAGATTTAGCTCTATTGGAGATTTCTACCGTACTGAGTTAATGACCAGATTTGGTAGCTTGCCTGATGCTGTGTTTTCTGACTGAGGTTCAGGAGATTTTGGAGGAGGGTGCCGTTTGAGAGAGTTTCCTTTGTGTCTCTCTGAAAAGATTTAGCTTCTGAGCCTGATGTCCTTCAGCTATTGATTGGCCGTGACTGTGAGTTGTAGTCCCAATACTTCTTGAAGTTTGGATGGCGGGAGGCTATTTGATGCCTCGCACAAGAGAACTATAATTAAGAAGGAAGCAACATTCTGTAAATGTATATTTTCTGACTCTGTCCCTTAAATTGTAGAAGTACATCACCCAGTTAAAATTATTGGCTGAAGATTTACTCTACTTGAAGCAACCACCCAGACCCTTCTCAATCTTCTCTTGTTAGCTATTGAGGAAGGATTTGTGCTTAGGTCCCTGCCCTGTTGCCCACTGTAGTCTCACTGCCCATTTGGTCCACCGTCCACTGGTGAAGATTGACACTTTAGTCCGCTTGCAACTTAAATCACTCCTCCCTTCCCCATATATACAACCCTTTTCAAACTAATGAATAGGGTTGACTGCATTTCTAACTAGACTTTCTCTGCCCCCTGGTTAAGTTATGATGTTGATTGGTTAGTTGGGACAGGATTGTTGTTTTTCCCGCCTTATTTTGTGCAGACCCAGCCAGTGGTGGTTGATTAATCCAGTGTTTCCCAACCTTGGCAACTTGAAGATGTCTGGACTTCAACTCCCAGAATTCCCCAGCCAGCATTCGCTGGCTGGGGAATTCTGGGAGTTGAAGTCCAGACATCTTCAAGTTGCCAAGGTTGGGAAACACTGGATTAAGTAAACCATTTTGAAACAACCCATGGCGTGGCATAATGTGCAATCTCTTTCTGTATTTTTGAAGACTCTTGGTGTGTATCCATCTATCTTCCAGACACTCAAGAAATAGGGGTTTTTTTATAGATTCATCCAGAAAACGCTTCTTTTACCAAGGACTCTTGATGAGAATATCTGGAACACTAGTCAGTTTTCCTTAAAAAGCAGCCATGCCTTGTACCTATCCTGCAGTGCGTATACACTCCATTCAGGGAAAGCTGTAACCCTGCCTAGCACCCCAACTGAAACCAATCCCAGAAAATACCCAGAATCCTCAGCAGCATGCTGTCTGCCATTCCATGGCTGACAAGCAGTTGTATTTCTGCCATAGATAATGTGGAGACTGCAGCTCATGAGCTTTGCTCATCTGATT